TGCTATTGGAAGTAATGCTGCTATGAGCATAGGTGTACAAGTCTCCATTTATGTTTCAGTTCTGTTTTCCTCAGGGTATTTTGAAAAGCATAATGGTAATTAGGGAGCTCTAGTGGCCCAGTGGACAAGGAGTTGTGTTGCCAGCCCAAAGGCAGGCTGTTCAAATCCACCTGCTGCTCCTCAGAATAGAGGTAGGAACTCTCCTCCCATGTGATTTACAACCTCTGAAAATCCACTGTGGGGTCAGCTAAGAGTCAGTCTGGATTGGCAACACATAACTACAGTGGTAATAAGAAAACAGAGTCCTTGGTGGAAATTTCTTGGTAGTTTCAAGGTGGTAGATAGAGTTGACAAAAATTACTAAAGTGTAAGTACTGGAGAAAGAAATTAAATTGCCAAGAAAATTTACAATATTGCAAAATAAGATTTCATACTAAGTTTAAACAATTATTTAGAAAACTATGTATTTATTATGCTGCTATGATATATAGATTATGTGAGATATACACACGCGCGCGCGCTTGTGTGTGTGTGTGTGTGTGTGTGTGTGTGTGTGTGGTATTCATGTGCTGTTGAGTAAGAATGGACCCATAGCTGACCCTCCAGTGGGTTTTCAAAGGCACTAAATTTCACAGGAGGAGACTGGTCATCTTTGTCCTGTGGAGCAGCCAATGGATTTGAATCACATGCCTTTGGGATTGCAGCTTCTTATCATTAAGACATCAGATAGATTATATATCAATATGTATGCATGTGTTTAAGAAATATGTAGATAGCATATAAATTAATACAATACTATGAAATTATATAAAAATAGACATTTTTTAAAAAAATAGATGTTTTATACAAAAGTATGCCAAAATATTGGCCTTTGGATAATGATTATTTCTAGACAGGAAGTAATTTTTGTTGATTTCTTTTTTTCGTTTTCTGTGCTACCCAGATTTCTATCATGACCGTGTGTTTTTGGTTTTTTATGATTAGTAAAGAAATACTCCTTTTAAACGATGTGCTTCAGCCTTTCTCCATGGGGAAGTGGCTTCCACGGCAGCCTGCAAACAGCTGACATTCCGCTCTGAAAGTTCTCCATGACTATGCTGAGCTGCTGATGCTATGAGCACTGCCAGCCAGGCACACTCACCCCGGTGGCCTTTCCCCTTCTCTTCTAGATTCCACCGTTGGAGTGTTCCATTTACGCTCCCCATTCGGCCGGTACAAGCTCACCTATGACAAAGCCAAAGAGGCCTGTACCAATGAAGCTGCAACCATAGCAACCTACAACCAGCTCTCTTATGCCCAGAAGGTGCGTCCAATAGTGGTCACTGTGTCTCAGGGCCTGGCATCGGTGTCTGAAGGGGAGGTGCAGGTTCATCTCAAGATGGGAGTCATAGACTGTTGACTTCTCAGAAGGGAGAGCAGGAAACCCTGGGAGCCATAATAACAATGCACTGTGCCACCTGAGCTTTTTCCTTGGAAAGCTGGTGCCACTATTTAGCCAAAAAGCTGTATAACATGGCCAGTGTTCCAGCCACGGGTTGGCATGTGCATTGTCACTAGCTAAGAAGTGGCAGATCCAGTATCCAAATGCAGCTCTGATTCCAAAAGTCTAGTCTTCGCTGGGACTCTCAGTGGCCTAAACATGCACATCTGATAGCTAGAAATCAGAGAGAGCTCAATAACCACAAGCCCAGGGTCTCCCTGAGCCCACCAAGCAGCCTTGTTTCTCTTGAATAGCTCCAGCTCCCAGTGGCTAGAAGGGCTGGGAAAGGAGTGGCCAGAGCTGCCCCAGCTCGCAGCTCCAGCCAGCTGTGCACAGACTCAGGCCAGGGCCTCTCTCTTAGCTCCTAAAAACAGAAGGCACCTATCTCAGTCACCTAGTGCTGCTCTAACACAAATACCACATGATGCTGTTGGTATGATGTGCCGTCAAGTGGAACTGACTCATAGCTGACCCTGTGAGTCAGAGGCTATAAATCGCACGGGAGGAGATTGCCCATCCTTTCTTCCGTGGAGCACCTGGTGAATATGAACTGCCTACTTTTTGGAATGGCCTCTCAACTCCTTACCTACTAGGCCACCAGAGCTTCCTAATACCACAAGTGGGTGGCTTTAAAGAACAGAAATGTCTTTTCTCACAGTTCTTAAGGCTAAAAGTCCAAATTAGTCTTGGATATGTCACTTCCTCCCTTATAATTAGCTGTGGGTGCCCCTTGGTTCCTTGATTCCCTTGAGTCCTCACACCACCCTCTGACTGCCTTGAGTGTGCACATGTCTCTGTCTAATGGGATCTTTTCATACCTCAGAAATGATTAGATCCAGAACCCACTCTACTTGCTTATGACCTAATTAACATTGACAAAGAAAATCCTGTGGCCAAACACGATTCATCCACAAGTATTAGGGTCAGGAGTCCAGTGTATATTTCAGGGGGACACAGTTCAATCTACAACAGTGATCGAAGAGTTCTATCAAACCATAAGCAGGAGAATCCTCCCTCCTGGATAATAACTGATAGCAAAGCCTTTTCCTAGAGCAGAGGGAAGGGGAATGGACATGAAGGCTCAGGTCCCTCCAAGAAAGGGAAGGCCTGCCTCTCATGCATCCAGTGGTGTAGGCATTTAACAAGCCCCCACTGCTCACTGAAGTGGAGAGAACTTGAAGCACATGCTACAGAAGATCAAGAGCTACAGCTTTCAATACGAATTGCATCTCAACATCAAGAAAACAAAAGGCAGTCATCAAATGACAAATAATGCCCAATCCTACTCTTTTAACAATAGTATGAATATGGCAGAGGCTGGAGAGATAGGAATGAATGGACAGATAATGAACACTGCACTGGAATGGACAATTAGGCATTATGTGTATGACAGTTAACACTACAGAATAGGACCAGCTTTACAAAGAGGATTAGGGGAAGCCAGAGAGGAAAATATGTATGTGTGCATGTTGTTGTTGTTATGTGACATCGAGTCACTTGTGACTCATAGCGACCTTATGTACAACAGCCCTAAACCCTGCTCTATCCTGGGCTGATTGCACTGCCTCTGACACACCCACCCTGATTACCCTAGTCACTGAATTAATCCACCTCACAGAGGGTCTTCCCCTCCTGCGCCGTCCCTCCACCCTCTCAAGCATGATGTCCTTCTCCAAGGATGGGTCCCTCCTTGCAATATGTATGTCCAAAGTATGTCAGATGAAGCCTCAGAATACTTGCCTCCAAGGAACAGCCCGGTTTAACCCTCTCCAGGATAAACCTGTTAATTTTCTTAGTAGTCCATGGTACATTCAATACTCTTCTCCAGCACCACAGCTCAAAGGCATCAATTCTTCTATCCTCCCTAGTCATTGTCCAACTCTCTGACAAACAGAAACATAATATGTGTTAATATGTAATATGTATATTCCTAATACTACAATGAAATGTGCGAGGAACTAGAGTCAGAAAATCAAAAGGGCCAAACTCGCTCAGCATTTCTTAAGCTCAAGGAACTGAAGAACAGATTCAAACCTAGGGTTGCTGTAATCAAGGATGCTTCGGGAAGAATATTAAATGATCCAGGAAGTATTAAAAGAAGATGGAAGGAATATACTGAGTCATTATATAGAAAGGAATTGGCAGATACAGAGGAATTTA